ATGTTACCAGCAGCATAAATGGACACAGCACGCCATATGACCAAATACGACGTACAGACATCCGACGTATGAGAAAAGGTCTAAAAATGAATACAAAATCCCAAAACTCTTCAGAATGATTTGGAAAGTGTAGAAGCTGGAAAAAGGAACAGCGGGTTAACAGTGGAGTTCTCCTTTAATTCACATGTAACCAATAATGAGAACATTTATATTGAGGTTGAAAGCTGGCGGTCAGGCCTCTGGGGTCATAAAATCTCTTAATCAGCCATATTGGGACGGATTTATGTTTCCATCAATAACGCTTGTGTTCAATAGGTGTAACGTCTGCTGATAAGTGGATTGCAATTGGTTCTAATGAGTGGCACCTATTACTACGATATGCGCCAATTTTCTGGTACGGACAAGATACTAGATCACAGATAAACTCCTACACGCCTGTGTCCATTATTATTATGTCATTATGCTGTGTCCATACCCTTCACCATCACCTTTCTCTGCTGATACTGTAAATATATGGCTGGGGCAGTGAGTTAAAATTCAAGGAGATAGGGTGACTAAGGGTGACTAAAATTTTCATCGAGAAGAGGTCAGAATCGCGGTCCGGACAGAATGGTCCACTCAGTCCACATCCGTACCGCAGTCCGCCATTTAGACAGCATTCACACCAGCAGCTGCACTACAAGGCACAGCTGCTGGCGTGTGTTCCCAGGCACAAAATACTGAACAAAAACTAAACAGCGCAATGCTCTAGGTTTGGCAAATCAGCACTGTTTATTTATTTATTTATTTTTGTTAGACCTCCTCTCCTAATTTACATACACGTGCATGCCTTATGTGCACGTGTTCATTCAAATTAGTTGGAGGGAGAAGCAGGGTTGGTTTAAAGGGTAAGTTCACTTTAGGTGCATTTGGGAAAATGGATTTACCCTTCCAACCTGCCCCCCCATACTATATTTACCTTTCGGTGAATGCTCCTTGCCCGTACCCCTTACTGCCTTGTAGCACAGTCCTGCACTATGGTTTTTTAAATTTCGCTGCACATATTAGTCAGCGCAGTTAACTGACTGCGCTGACCAATGAGAAGCATTTCTTAACAAGAAGTCTGATGTCTCCCCTGCCCTCCAAGGATTGTGCTTCATCCTCCGTTTACCCAGAACTTCAGCCAGGTTTTGACAGCTCTAAAGCAGAAAGCACTGAGAGGACAGTGCTCCTGGTTTTATATATCGCAGAACAGATCAGGGAACAGACGTCCTTGGTCTGCTCCGGCTATCCACCCTAATGCCCTCTGTCATGGTTATTGGCCCCCAAGAGGAGCGGGAGACCCTGAAAACAATAGTAGGGGGGAACAAGGCCTGGTAGAGCAGGATTAGCTGTACCTCCGTAGGCGGCCGTGCCTGATGTCACTGGTTGCTAGGAGGCCAGCAGTCCTAGCAACCAATGACTGAAGTGGAGGGGGACCCGCACTGGGTTATGGCTGGCAGTGTATGCACTAACCTTAGAGGCCGATGTATCCACTGTCAGGCAGCCATAACCCAGTTGCAGGTCAGCGATCGTGGTCTGGACATAACTGCCACACTTTGATATTCTCAAAGAAAGCTGATATGTTGCAAAAGTATTAATATTACCAGAGAGTGCTGTGTATATTGGGTTACCAACATTATGTGATGCCACCTTGACCACATCTCTCTACCAGAAGGGAGGTATCAAAAATGGAAGACCTGAGAGGCAAATGTCAGATCACTCTTGAGAAGTAAACTTCCAACCACTGGAATCCATCAATATGACAGGAATGTTGACTCCACCAAAAAAAAATGGAATTTCACTGTACCCTCATGGGAGGAAGGCTTTACTATGCGATGGATGCTGTTGGAGGTTTTTTTTTTTACTCCTATAGTCCCTCCCCACCATAACCTCTATGGTTATAACCGGGGGTATGCAACTTTGCCACTCCAGCTGTTGTGGAACTACAAGTCTCATTAGGCACTTGAAAACTCTGACAGCCAAGACCCCAGAGGCATGATGGGATTTGTACCCATCGCCGCAGCTTGAGTGCCGAGGTTGCCCACACCTGGGTTCTAAAGTCTTATTGGGTCCCAAGCCCTACTCCAACAGGAGTAATGGTTTTGATACATTGCACCAAAAACCTCAAACAGTTGTATGCAGAATAAATGGCTCTATGATATTTATATTGAGCTATATGTGCACAATATACCAGCAGGTCTGGATGTGTACATGGCCAATGGAGTGTAAAGAAATGATTTGCAGGGCCCCGTCCACTGTCCCGAAATGAGGAATAATCCTCCTAGTTCTGGGATATGTGACTGTATGAGACACGTGAATCCCTCCTTTTCTAGGAAGGCTTTACTGTGCTACTTCAACCTCACAAACTGGTTTTCCTCCTTTTTATTTCATAACCTGTATCATCAGGAGAATGACAGCTGGGACTCGGCCGTGCTGGGCACCAACTTTCCAGTAATTTATACATCTCGTCCATTACTCTTAACATATGTGACGTTCGGCAAGCTGTCGACGTTTCCCTTTTCATTGGGACGCATGACCAATAATTATTATTCCATATAGAGCTTTCACAATCCTCCAAAGATTACTAGCTGCCATTCAGGTTATAGCCAACCATAAAAGAAATCCCACGGAACGATTAAATGGCTTCATATGTTTGGAGCCTGCCGTCTCCGTGTTGGAGAGACGAAGGGGGGAGTATCTGGGAAACGTATCATTCTGAGTAGGATGAGAGGCCAAAATAACTCAATAATACAGTATTCTAATGAAAAAATAAAGGAGGAGGTAGAGCAGCCAAGCCATGGAGCGGATTCCTGTAAGGTCACTGTCCAAAGGGGATTACCATGGTAACACAGGCTATAAACAATACAGCGCCCCCATCCCATTCATACAGACAGAGGGTGGAGAGCATATGATTAGCTTTTATTTATCTACCACTCAGCTTCTCACCTTGTGACTTGCTGCAAAGTAACATTTTTGCAGTCTGAACACTGGGGGAGAGGAGAATGAGGAAATGCTTCCTACTGCATGCAGCAGACTGATGACATCATCTCAGCCTAGGCAAAGTCACTTGATGGGAGGTCAAGGAAGGCGGAATTTCCTGAAAATTTTTACTGATGCTGCATATTGTGGCATGTCTGGAATGTACTTGCTTGTAAGTTTACTGATAGGTTTAAAGTGAGGGTCTAAAGTGAGGGTCTAATTCGGCTGGGATAGATTTAGGCCTCATTCACATGAGAAAAGGCAAGCAGTACAGCTCCGTGCTGCGTGCACGGCCGTATCGGGCAGCTTCCGGGAAGGACAGGTGCTGCGTGTGAGTAGTACGCAACCTGTGTCCTTCTCTATGGGAGTACGCAGCCCTACGCTCACCCCAAGTGCAGGTCTGTACGGGTGTCCCGGCTCGGACGCAGTCAGGAACCATTCTGTCAGCGTACGAGTACAGACACCCGCCCCCGCACGGACGTGCAGGGCGGGTGAGCGTAGGCCAACGTACGGCCGCAATGTCCCATGGAGAAGGACAGGGGCTGCGTACCAACCACACGCAGCACCTGTCCTTCCCGGGAGCTGCCTGATACGGCCATGCACACAGCACGGGGCTGTACGTGCCGGCCTTTTCTCATATGAATGAGGCCTTAGGGATGACATTAAGAGTTAAGGGTTAAATTTAGAGTAAATTTAGGTAAAGTTTAGGGCCTCATGCAAATTGGTTCCTGCCACCTAGCGCCCATAGTTGCTAGGACACAGGCGGCTCTTGCAAAGCCACCCAGCGTCCTTCATTTCTAGGACACAAGGGGCTCTTGATGAGCTGCCTGGCATCCTTGCTTGCTAAGACACAGACGGCTCTTATACTCCAATGCAGTGGTATTGCACTGTTTGCACGTAAACAAAGATGTACATGCGTGCAGCATAAAATACGGTCCCATGCACTGGACCTTGGCGCAGAAAAGAACTGACCTTCTTTGAACTATTATAAATTTACCGCGTATTCTAAAGACATGTCCAAAGATACAATATCCAGATCAACCGTAACTTGGCAAGATTGTTAATTCCTCCAAAGAAGAAAAAATTAATATTGGCGCAGCTACATCACCCTATCTATTCCTGCAAATTACAATCCAGCGCAGTCTCCTTCAAACAAACCTGCAAAAAACACAAATTCCAAACAAGTCGGCATGGCTCCTGTGTCCCTTTCCTAGTGTTTATCATTAAATACATGAATGATTATGAGGTTATTCCTCCCACACCAGCAGGAAATCAGTATAGTCAATGCAGTGGTGGGTTTTAGGACATTAGAACATTTCATGCTGTGGGACTGAGGGGGATTTAAGGTTGTAGATGACAACAAGGTAGGCAATTAACCATGTAATCTTCCTAAGGTTGATCTGAACATATACAGTGAAGATCTACCGTCTTACAGGGAACATCTAGAAATGCCAATAGGCCCTAATCACTACCCTGAAAGATGCACAGTGTCTTGACTTCCTCCTGAAAAATAGCAGTGAACTTCCGGTGTTTGGAGCCTCATAGCTGGATATCTGTGGGATCATCTAAGGCACTGCTGTTTCTGACTGCTAGTCCCACCAGTTTGGTGATGTCACTTCTCTGCTGTTCACTGTTTTCCTTGCTTGAGAGAAAGCTGTACCTGGGGACCTGCAGTGCAAGAACCTCCCTGCTTAGATTATCCTGTGCTTCCTCCACCTCTCCTGCTTCTTCATCAGTCATCAGAAGGGTAGTTATGACAAGCAAGCAAAGCCTTTCCTATACCACAAAGTCCATCTCTACACAGAGATGCCGGCAGGACAAGGCATGATGGGGAAAAGATCAGCTGCAGGGAGCCTACAGGCAATTCTGGTGACTTTGTCCTCTTGCTGCATAACAAATACTTATAATACAAATACATGACTAAGTAGTAACATCAGCACTTCTTTATTTCCTCAGAACAAATACAGTATATGTTGGAACAGCCCATTAAAACCACTTACCTGTGGACATAGTGCAGCTGGTGAACAGAGTCGATGGCCATGACCATCTCAGCCAGGTAGAAACGAGCCATGTCCTCTGGAAGTCGGTCTTCAAATTTACTGAGAAGAGTGAGGAGGTCTCCACCAACATAGTAATCCATAACCAGGTACTGTGAAGGGGAAGGTAAGGAGGAATACACAGACATAGGTAAGGAGGAATACAGAGATGTAGGTGTAGCTATGACATCAGGCAACAAGTAAAACCACTCTGTGTATTCTCTGTGCAATCCACAAAACCATTGTGCTGAAGTCAGGAAACATCATGACTGCTGGTCAATTTTATTTTATTTGTACACAATTGTGTACAAATAATTGTGTACAATTGTGTACAAATACTATTGTATTTCAATAGTCTTGTTGGGATGCATGCAAAAGGAGTAACAGAGGATATGAAATACCTAAAGCAGAACCCCAGCTTTTACTGTAATACTCAGCTTCAATCTTAAAATGTACCTTGCATTACTACAGCTAGATGTCCTCCGTCTTATGTCCAGCATCAATCAACCCACTGCCTCTGAGCCCAGACTGTCCCAGTCCCACCCCCAGCCTGTGATGGCACAGTGAAAGGAGAACCAGCACAGTGATGAGCTTATCTCTCTGTTAATCTGTCCTATCTACTTGTCATGTGCACTGATGGGCTCCTTGTACTGCTTCCTCCTCTCACACGCCTACCCCTACTAAGAGGCTGACACCAGGTCATATTCAGCCTGATAAGCACATCTCTCTGCCACTCTGCTCTCTCGTCCTATCAACATGCTCCCTGCCCTGCAGCATACCTTATTGGCTCCTTGTGCGGTTACACCCTCTCCCAGTGTGAGCTCTGCTGTACAGAGACTGCAAGAGGCTGATGCCAAGTCAAACTCAGGTACTTGCACTTCTTGCATTTAAAAAAAAACACATATTTAATGTATTAAGGAACTGAATGAATTAATAGTATTAATTATATAATTCTATTAATTCCTATTATTATAATAGTAATATAATACATATTATTAATATAATTTAAAAATAATGAATGGATGAATTAATTAAATGTATTAATGAATGCAGAACTGCATGATCCGTGTCTTCTATACCTGCCATAAGTTCACCTTTAAGGGGTATGTCCCCCTAAAACTTTTCCTTAATGGTAGGACAGATTGGTGAAAGTTCAAAACCCAAGTCGTGTTTTTACTGCGACCCGGGACTCCGTTAGAGAGATTTAACCTCACTTCCTGTCCCGATAACAATGGTTTCAGTAGAAGGGAAGCGAGTGAAAATCTGCAACAGTAACAGGAGTTCCAAAACATTCTGGGGTCCCTTTAGAGCTGACAGAATACTGCAATTAAAGATATATTTATAAAAGGAGCACAAAGCAGGCTATACACTCCTACGTACAATTAAAAATCGAATCAAATCTACATTTGGGGACTGAATCCTGGACAGCTCTCGGGTTTTCCAATATTTCCCCGTCTGTCGAAGATAGTGAAATGTTAACACACTCGCCACATTTCGGCTTTCATTACTTCACATTAAGTTGTTTTCATAAGGATTTGGGAGGATTTAACACACTTACATCAGCATTAGAAAGGCAGATCCATTACTGAACCATCTGTGAAATCCCACCCAAAATCTGTACTCCCCCCACCTCTGGTTGACGGATTTTAATTTAGCGACAGTTGTGGAAAAATATATTTTTCTACTATATGAGGTTCTAGTGACCTCAGTGGAGTGCAGGTGGGGGCACACTTCCAAAAAAAAGAAAAAGGACTTTTCAATCAAATGCCATTTTTCCATGGCAAGACTTTAAAGGAGAACTATGACATGAGTGATTTCCACTCACGTCATAGTTCTAGCCGACCTATGACAATGAGACTGTCACAGGTCGGCTCAGTAGATCGGGAGGTGAGCGAACACATACCGGGTTCCCTCACCTCTCGATCCTGTCACGGCTCTCTGCCGTGACAGGGGGAGGGGCTGGATTCCCCTCTCCCTGCTCCGATCTGCCAGTGCTGACTGGCGGAACGGACGGGGGAGGGGGCGGGTACAGCTGGCTCTGCCTCTAGATAGGCAGAGCCAGCTGTCACTCACGCAGCTGGGCGGATCCCGTCATCTAAGTCGGGATCCGCTCCAGGTGCGGCGTCTCAGTATACCGCGAGCTGTAGCTCGCGGTATACTGAGCTTAGGGTGACGGGAGGACGCTAGTTTGTGTCCTCCCGTTACCCCAAGGAGAACTATGGGGAAAAACACTGACCCCATAGTTCTCCTTTAAGGCCTCATTTCACACAGCTAGGTGTCGGCCCGTACAGATCCGTGCGGCATGTACAGCTGTATCGGACAGATGCTGCGTGCGATTGTACGCAGCAGCCTGTTGTTCTCTACGGGAGGACGCAGCAGTATGCCGCCGAATGCTCCCCCAAACTGCACATCCGTGCGGGTGCCCGTGTTCGGACGCAGACAGGATCCATCCTGTCTGTGTACGAATACGGACACCCGCACCTACACGGATGCGCAGCTCGGGTGAACGTACGGCCGTGTATTCCCATAGAGAAGAACAGGCTGCGCCACACAATTACACGCAGCATCTGTCCTTCCCGGAAACGGCCCGATACGGCCGTGCACGCTGCACGGATCTGTACGGGCCTACTCTTAGCTGTGTGAATGAGACCTTAGGCAGAAGTTTGGATTTTTGCTGCAGAGTGGGTCCTGACTTCTTTTTTCAATGTGCATTACAGCTGCATGTTCTGCAACTAGGGCACCTTTGTGTATCTCCTCCGGCAACGGCTGTGTGGGAACTTTTGGCTATGTGACTTTGAGCCTCAGAAGCCACTTGCTGGCATGGTCAACTGTCATTTTGATGCCCACATGGGTGGTTCTCAGTACTAGAGGAGTGAAGTGATAATGCAGCCACAGCCAGTGGTCTTTACTATTGCTTTCATGTGGTTACATGGACTGTCTATAAGATATAGGTACTCCTAAGTGTTTCTCCCCGCCCTATGTGGCGAGTCATTTTAGTGGAATTGCTGTTGGTGCAAAAGGTTGCGTAAAGGCAGATATGCATCAGGTTGTTTTTTGTACAGATGTATGTGAAATAAAGTTTGATTCCCTTTGGAAGAGCATTGTGTGTTGGTTTTGCAGTTTTTTTAGATAATTACTCCGGAAGAGGGTTATCCATGCATCGAATGTGGATTTCAGGGATGCATGGCAGGGGTGAGCTGTGCGGTTTGAGTTTTTAGAATTTACTATTGAGCCGAAGACCACAGGGGCCATGGCCACAGCTTGAGACCTAGAGACTCTAGGGACATGTAGTTGCTGCTACTCCCTGTTCACCACCATGCCACAGGAAGGAGAGGAGGAAGAGGTATGGAGCAGTCATGCGGCCCAGGTGGGCCGCTCTCAGTAGGAATCTTTAAAGAGGAACTCCAGGAATTGTAAAAATTAACTCTTGCAGTGGGCCCACCCCCGAAGTGCCATATATACAAGTCTTACTTCCATTATAAAGCCAAAATTAAGGAGTGTATTCCTCATTTCAGGAAAACTGGCAGAGCCATGCAAGTTATTTCCTAGCTCACCATCGGCGCCCTGTAAAAGGGCACAAGGACACTGGAGACCACCAACATAAAATGGCCAAGCACCTCTGCCATAGGAAATATTCCTTATGCTCTGGAGTAAAGGGTCAGTGATTGATTTGTGAAGTGACTGTAAATGAACTCACCAGATAGTTGTCATCCTGGAATGCATAGTGCAGCGTGGTGGTCCACTGGCTGTCTCCGTTCACCAAGACGTCTCTCTCTTCCCGAAAACAGGCTGTCTGGGGAGCACAAAGAGGTCCTGTTATACAGCTGTCCACCCAAAACTCATGCCAGTCACAGTATCTACAGCAGAAAGACCATCTGATTATTAGATTCCTTCATTCACAATCTAAAACATATTTGGCAGCAGCTGCAGACTCCAAGCTTTCTGGATTCTTGAAAAAGATTCAAATCTTTCATCGATAACAATAAGTGAAAGAATTCCTGAAAGAAAATCACCGGTCACAAAAACTAGCAGGAAAGGAATTTTGTTGAAAGCCATAAGCAAACAGCTAATGCAGAACTGAAATGGATTTGACCTGTTTTATCTATCAAATGAGAGTCATTCTGTTTAGCCAGCCTTGTGAACCTGCAAACCCTGCCAAAATACACCGGGCAGGTCGGTGACCTCACTATTCTCCACTGCAGTGAAGGAAAACAACCTTGGTCACCGGCCTGACCAGAGACTACCTACTGGACAGTGAAGGATCATCACTAGACTGATGAGTTTATCACACTGTGACAAGTTCCAATGTTGTGCTGGTTATACCTCCATTTCTATTTGATTGACCGTTCAATTTAATCAATTTTTGTGTCAACTGTGATCACTGAATATATCATTGACGGTTAGTGTGCCTCCAATGATCCAATCACTGCTAACCACAAAATGTAAAATGATTATTTCGTGGGTCAATGGACTGGTTAGTTGTAAAAGAAATACCATGAAAGGCGGGCAGCTTCCTGAATCCATAACTAATTCTAATGATATTAGGAAAAATAATCTCTCGAATTAGGTTTTGTTGATCAGAGTCCAGCAACCTATTCAATGTTTTTTATCCTTGATACCCATTCAATGTTTTTTATCCTTGATACCCATTCAATGTTTTTTTTCCCTCGATACCAAAAAATCAAGTTGAAAGTGATCTAAATATAGACAAACCAACTAATATTTTCTATATTTATTTGCGATACCATCACATTTCACTGAATGATGGGAACAAAATGGGTATATGGGCAGTGTTAGAGGTAAAGCCTATCTTCTGGAAATAATGTAAAATCTGCACTTATGGAAGGGGTGAAATATGAAAGCTGCTGCGCTATGATTTGTAGAGACTGTGAAAAAATGAGTGTGCAGCGCTATACTAAGTGAAATGTAATCCCTCTTTCGGGATATATAAAAGTGAAAATTATAAATATTTTAAATAAATATCACACAATATTAAATAATCTTACAAACCATTATGTACAGTGAATATCCAAAAATTTAGGTTAAAATGATGTGTTCACACTGTGGTGATAAAATTAACTGTAGTCCTTGGGTGAGGGTACAGATAACAACCAATTTTAAAAACCTGGATTTTTCGTTTTAAACTGTGAGTCACTTATGTTTTTATTAACAAACGTTTATGTATACTGCACCATGAGGCGATTTCCTTTTTAATTATATAAATCGCATTGGACGCAACATTGCTGAAAGTAACATCTGGGATGTGGACCCTCTGATTCATCATCTCCGCTATACCATTTCAGCTGTGGGGTGAGTGCGCACCCCGAAGGGGGACACTTTGGAGACACATATACACGTCGGTGTGGGAGAATTTATTCTATTCTGTTAGAGTTTTATTGGATCCACTTGAAAACTTTTTTGCACAGAACGTTAATCATTTTTCCACTAAATATTTTTTCAATAATTTTCTTTTGAGAAATGAAGCACTATTAGGAATTGTTTTAAAATTGGTTGTTATCTGTACCCTCACCCAAGGACTACAGTTATTTTTATCACCACAGTGTGAACACATCATTTTAACCTAAATTTTTGGATATTCACTTTACATAATGGTTTGTAAGATTATTTAATATTGTGTGATATTTATTTAAAATATTTATAATTTTCACTTTTATATATCCCGAAAGAGGGATTACATTTCACTTAGTATAGCGCTGCACACTCAAAGCCTATCTTCTACCTGATCCCCACTCCCCTGGCAGTTGGCGTTCTCATCTCCCCCTAAGCTTTGGCCTGTGGATTCTCCCTCAGCATCCTCATGCATAATGCATGACCGCCATTAGAAATCATGGGGCCCTGACAGGCTACCTGGCAAGCAGGCTTCCCCCCTGTTTACATACCCATGCATGCCCTTCACGCATGAGTTCATAAGAATCAAATGGCTGGTGGGGGGCAAGATTTTTATTTTTTATTCTTATTTGATTATTGTTTTACTACCTTTCTTTTTTCCACTTTGCGATAGCAAACGTTAACAAGTTCTTACGTGACAGCATTCAGAGACAGGTTCTCTTTATACAGACATAAAGGGTCTATTAGACTCCAATACATATGATTAAGCACAGCATTGTGCTCGATTTTCTGTTTAACCGGTACTTCAACCGGCTTCTGACACCTCTAAAGCAGGAAGCGCTTAGAGCACAGTACTTCCTGCTTCAGTGATCACAGAGCAGACCAGGGAACGGATGTTCCTCAGTCTGCTCCCACTCTCCATCCTGATACCATCTGCTGTGGTCTCGGACCCCCAAGAGGAGTAGCGGCCCTGTAAACCATGGTGGGCCAGCAGCATGATCACAGGCTTGTACAGGTACAGTATTACATTTGTAGCTAACAAGATGCACAGGCATTGCTGGGAGTTCTCATTGGGGGAAGCTGTGTGGGGAGAACCTGTTGGGCCCCCCTGCTGTCTTTATAGGGGCCTGAGCCCGTACAGGAGGGCTGGCTGTACCCCCCTATTGGGGGCCCTGTGTATGGGCACTACATTGCAAGTGATGACATCATCGGGCCTTCAACCACTGAAGCATAGAGAGGAAACGGCTGTGGGTGCTGGTCTTGGAGTCAGTGGGAGCGGAAATCAGGTACACAGGTATCCTAGACTAAAACATGCAGTAAACCATCGCAATGTGTGGACAGACCCTTTAAGCTGGCCATATACGTTACAGTAAGATGGTACAATCCATGACTGATTAATCCACCCATTGACCCCAATACATTTCAATGGAATTAACATTTTTAGCTAGGGACGTTTGTGAAATCAATTTCACGAAATGTTGCCACTCATCCCTATTTGTAATGTGCGTGGGCAGCTTAGATGTACTTGGGCATCATTTCAAAGCATGCAAAACACACCTTTCCATAGGGGTAAATGGTGCCAAATGAAAAACAAAAAAAGTACACCCAATAACACACCAACAAACAAGGGGACACCAGGGCAGAAAGTGCTACTGGGGGACATAGATATTAAAAACGGACAGAGGTTTTAACCCTTTCCCACCCTAGCCGGTATAGTCTGGCTGGAGTCGTTCTTTAAATTCCCAGCTCCTGGAATAAAACTCAACTAGCATACCAACATGACAGAAAACATAACAGTCGTGTCTAAGGAAGGAAAGTTTATTTAGAGCCATACAATGGCGG